GGCAGTTTGCGTTATATTACTGACATCGATTATGATAATGCATTTTCATATTTTTTTTCTCACCAAACACCCATGACTACATGCTCATGTTCCTATGCCTATATAACGTAGCAGCGGGCTGCACACTAACGGACCGCTGATTAGGAAAAAAAATTACGGGTCGTGGTGAATGGAGAGTCGGTTGAGGGAGTCGGTGTCGGAGTCGTAAGCGTGGTTATGGCCTAGTGAAAATCGAAAATCGAAGTCGTAAGTGTAGTCATAAGCTCCACGAATTCGGAGTCCACGAGAACAATCAGAACGTTTCCATTTTCGTCTGATTCTGCCTACCACTCCGTCGCTTATGATCCAATGAAAACTAGATTGTTGGAATCGGAAGCAGATGCAGAAAAACCAATCAAAATACTAGATCTTAGGTGTTGTGATTGGTTTATTTTTCGGCATCTGCTTTCTACTCCGGTAATTTAGTTTAGCGACGGGGTCATAAGCGGAAAAGGTATTCTACCTCCGAAACTGTCCGCTTGATTTTCACTAGATCGCATCGATCAGCGCTTCTGATAACGACTCCGACTCCGTGTCTAGTCGATACCAGCCTTAAAAAAACATCTCTTTTGAGGAGTTCCTCAATTTAATTTAATAACAATTGATTCATACTTTTAGCGTGCATTTCTTTTTAAAGTCTGTAGCCTATTTTGTGACAAATTTGTAATATCACGTGACATTGTTTTATCCCCATAAGACTTTGCTTCTTCGTTTGTGTTTACTCGTTTGCTCGCATTTCGATCGCCCCTAAACTCTCAACAAGTTTAGGACCAATTTGGAGGTGATCCACCTGGATCTTCAATCGGCCAACCCTCAGCCTGCTAAGACAAGCCCTCGCATGGTCTGGTGACGCCTTTGTTCATCCTGGTGAGGTAACCGGAATGTTACTTTCCGACTGAATCCGGCTTCCGGTTTTAAGTGTGGAGGTAAGAAAAAAGGAGTCGTAAGCCTTCAAAAGTTTCTTTACTAATACATTCCGTTTTGTCTCGTATGTATACGTTGTTATCAAAGTTTGATTTCCTACTTAAATATGTCCAACTTTTAAGTAAAGAATTAGGAGCTGGATCTCTCCGTTTATAGGAAATTCAATCATTAACCAAAAGGATCGGTGTACTCACTCACCGCTTTGCCCGCTTTGCGAGGAGGCTAGTTTATGTGCAGTCAATATGACGTACGGGATCTTGTATATATTTGTCGACAACAAGTTTCACACCACATGCTGAGCTATCTTTAAAAGTCTTACTGAAATGTACAAAACGCACAAGACAACGAAAGTGAATCTGTTTATTTGGTTATACAATTTGCTATCGATCACAAATTTCTGGCACACTAGTGTTGTTATCTCCCGCTTTGAAACAGGAAGATATTAAACAGTTCTCTCTTCTCCCGTTACAGTTTTGTGTAGGGTGAAAAAATGGCCTCATAAGGTATATGGCTCTATAGCCAACACATGAAAATTTACTGCTATTAAAATAAATTACGTCTATGATCGATATGATGTGATTATAAGAATTTTGTATTCATTAAAGGGAACTAAAATTGTATTCAAGAATCAGGGATATATTATGTTATGCGTTGTCACCAGCCGATATTTTAAGGCTTACTGTTCGTTATAAAGCAGTTGCTCCGTTGAAAGCTTTCTGCATGCATATTTGTGGCATAATTTTGACGATGCAGCTCTGTTTGTGTCGGAGGCTCGATCACGTTAAATGAATATTTGAAGAACAGAGGTTTGCAGAATGCTACAAATTACGGTCTAACTGAATGGTTTCTGACCAAATAACTTCCTTTAGATTTAACTTGTCTACTTGATATTATAAAGCGGAAAGCGGAAAGCGGAAAGCGAAAAATCGAGAAATCGAAAATCGACAATAGAAAAATGTCTTTATTTATTCACGTTGGCATCATTGTTTCATACTGAATAGGGCGATCGTTGTTGGTGTCAATCGCACAAAAAGTTCATCGGTCTCAAATTCCTTCGGACAGTTAATCGTGCTGTACCCTTTCAATATTCAGAACTGATTGATTTTTACATACATACATACATACTGTGGCATGATCGGAAACTGAATCACTTTAGCTAATGAGGCAAATATTATAACCAAATGTTCCCCTATAACTTGAGTCACTTCTGTTGAATGCCTGCGTAACCATGCACAAATAATGCATTGTACACAATAAAAAGATCGTGAGTAAAACACCACACACGATTACATACGAGTAACATACGAGTAACATGCGACTAGCATACTAGTACATACGAGTAACATACCAGTACATACAGATACATACGGAAATATACAGGCTATATACCAATACATTAGTTTACATACGAATACATAGGAGCAACATACGATGGCAGCAGGGTAAAAAACATGAAATGTACCATTTTTCGCGCGAGTCATGCCTTGCACAGACACGCGAGCGAGCGCAAGTGCCACACGCGCGCGTACTACACATATACGCCTGTGTCATACTCAGAAACAAACCTGAACGCCCTGAGCACTGATGTGATATGATGCCACGATACATACGGTAATAAAAGGTAAAATAGTGAATCAAAATTAATAAACGGGCAGACTATGAGTATTGCCTGATCATTTTCTCTCACTGTGATCACAGAGTCGAAAATAGCGAGAGTAGGGCACGACAGATGAGAGAAATAGTTTACCAAATAAGGTGCAACTGGCTCCTTGTGGTGACTGTTGACACATCAAGATTATCTGATGTTGTGGGAAAGACCAAAGTACACACGCGCGAGTCCGCCGAAAATAAGCGGAGACAAGCGACAGCCGGAAATACGCCTGTGTTCGCAGGCTACAGAATTTTAATGAGATCGGTTTCTTAGAAACGTCTTTGACATCTACCAAAATTTCCGGAAAGTTGGCCGCACATTAGACTTCAAATGTATCCCCAACACATGTAAATGGAATCGCGTTAATTATCCAGGATTGGGTGGTATTATAAAAGGAAGCCTTCATGGATCTACTTAGCACTGGTGACAAAATTGTTTTTATGGGGCTATGGCATATTTTGAATCCCGGACCTTGTCACGATTTTCGACGCCATCTTGACGGGTAGGTAAAGTGAAAAAGAAAAGAAATTACAGTGTTTGTATGGGAATACGATGGCAAATAACTTATTCCAAAATGCAAATTTACACAATTTGTGAGTCGCAACGTTAAAATACTAGATAGAAGATTTTATTCACCAGATTTGAAGGATGTAGCTTGTAACCCTGCAAATAGGTGTATGATGTTCCATCCCCGCCAAAAATCAACTTTAGAACTAAACAACTAAGTATCCATTAAAGGAATCGATCGACATTCGACCGCGAATGCTTTTAGTACATATGATCCTGCTTTCCTGGGCTTCCTTGCCTTATACATTTTTTATTTTGTAAATATATTTACAAATGGCAAAAAATAAAAACGAAGAAATATTTTAAGTTAATTGAAGGCGTCGAACGCGCGTTCCACTGGTCCTGATTCACTGCTAATACTTTGGACTGTAATCTAGACGAAACTAATGGATGATCCATGACATCTATGAGTAATCAACTGATTAGTCATATGTAATGATTATTAGCGATGATCAATGAGTAATCAATGAGTAATCGATGGGTAATCAATGATTACTCAACTGGTTGGTCACTGAATATCGGTGATGGTCAATGAGTAATCGATAACTAAGAATTCTGTGGCCTATATATCGATTACTCATCAATGCCATCGATGATTCATTGATGCTATTGATTACTTATCCATTAGTTATTGATTGCCCATCGATTACTCATTGATTACACTATATTTCTAGGCTGCTTTTCTGACCAATTTGGTTTATTATAACTGACTTTACTAGAACTGTACGTGAATGGTTCCAGACGATAAAAAAAAAAGGAAAAAGGGGATTGTTCATGCAAGGCTTAACGGGGAAAGTAACTGATTTCACAAGAATCCAAGACTCGTCTCTCGTTCATTACAATGTATGAGCCATCTGTGAGAGAAACGAAACAGTATGTATCATATTTATTTGACGGATGGTCAAGTCACCGAGAAGAAAATGTTTAGAAGGTTGAGTTGTCTCTCTCTTTCGCTCGCTTTACATACCGTCGTTATAAGTCAAATAAGTTTGCACTACGATACGAGAAAGAGAGAGAGTGCGACGAGAGAAAGAGAGAGAGCGCGCAAGGAGCACACGTGTTCGAAAGTTTTTATCTCTTAGGTTAGTTAACAAGAGGAAAATCGCCAAATGACATTTTGATTCTTGATTTCAATCATGGAAGACGTGAAGAAGTTAAAAAAAGGTCACGAAGAAGTGAAAAGCCAACTCAGCTGCACATACATTCGTGCTCGTATGAGCCGTGAATATAAAGAGAGAAGTTAATGAAGCGCTTCCCATGAGGAGCAGTTTGCCGTTTTTTTACTATTTCTAAAGATTTTTACTGATCCAGGTCTACAAAAGATCCGATACTCCTAATTTTTGTGTCACTGTGTTCTTGGCTCCGTTTGAGTTCTTGTCGAATTGTACGACTACAGAAACAGCGCTAACGAAAGAAACATGACAAACAACCGGCGTTCTTAAGAGATGGGAGAAAGAAGGAATCGAATCAAGGAATTTTTCAACAGCGTCAAGACAATCCCAATCGAGATGAGGAATATTATTCCTGTGAGCATTTAAAGTAATCATACCGGGCTGAAAGTGCACCGAAGCCCCAAAATATTTTTTCATTGAAACTAATCTACTTATAATTAGAAATACTTCTGCGAAAAACATCTGGATTTATAACATAGCCTTAGCGAAGCGCGCGTTCTGATTGGCTAATACGCTCGATCCATTTACCGATGGGTTGCACGCTGACGTCAGTTTGTTTATTTGTTTGTAAAACATAATTCCTACTTTTTCTTCTCCTAAAATATGGAAAAATCTAATAATTCTTCCGGAGATGAGGAATATTACTCCTGTGAGCTACGAAATTTTGAGCGTAAGTTTTTTTGCCGGGTCTCCACCTAGGAAATTTGTGAATTTAAGCGAGCAGGAGTTGAATCAGCTGGTAGAAGCAAAGGCACTCGGCACTCGGAGACGGACCAAAACAACAACAAACTGGTCTGTAACAAGGCATTGCGGAAATATAAGAGAGAATTTCTAGCAGTTTGACGACAAAAAAATTAAGCTTTCATTGTAGAACTTTTCTGGCATCGAAAGCCATTTTTTAAAATGCTTTTGGCGAACAAAACTTGAACGTTAGAGCTTTAACAAATCTCTGTTTGTAAAGTCTTACATGGGAAATTCATCTGTTCCAAAAACGTTAAGAGTAATAGTTTCTCTGAACTTTTCTGAATTTTTAACAAATATTGGTAGCCTCTGATGAATTATTTCAGTTCCCGGGTTTTAGTTAAGTTTTGCTCGAACGTTCGTCGCTCGATGTCAATTGAAATCGATAAAGAAACAGCCGTTCGAAGGAAAGACTGCATCGCCGCACAAATATAAGCTTGCATTTTTGACATTTTCCTTTAGGCCTCCGTCTTCTGTTTATTTCAGCTTGTTTTACCAACTAACGAAAAAAACTGATCCAAATTTAAGCTTAACTAGTTTTTGAGAAACGCTTTTACCGACTTTAATTTTCGTTTGTTGTCAGCTTGATATTTAGGTTAACTGGGCCGTTTGAAATTGTTTGTTTGCCCGAGAAACTATTAACTCGCCGCGATCTGGCAAGAAAAATTTTGATGTGTCGCTTTGTCAGATTTTTGAGTTTGCATTTTCGCGCGGTTTATCACGCTTTTGACTTCATGTAAGCCGGCCGGACGAGTTTCAATATATACTATCCCAAAAGTCTCAATGTTGTGAAATAGATGGTAAGCGTGCAGTGTCCAACAATCGAGTTAGGATGCACTTGCGAGGTTTGCTAAGCACTCAAGAAGCTAGAGTCGCTTCTTTCGTGCTTAGCATCCTCCCGCGTGTATCCATAACTCGATAGTTGCACGCTGCACGCTTACCTTTTCTTAATTGGTCACATCCTAGATTTTCTGACAGCATTAATGTAAGACATCACAGTTGCAGTTCGCTTGTGCCGTTCAAAATTTAGTTCTGGAACATTGTATGATTCTGTTCTTTGTTTTGTTTTTGTTTTGCTTTTTTTTTTCATCATGAAGTGATTTCAGTGTAGTTAAATGGTTGCCCCTTAAAATACGAAAAATACAATGAATTGCTATTATATTTCAGGAAATGGTTTTCAAGATAATCTAAATCGTAAAAAAAGGGTTTCGTATAACACTAACAAGAGAGGATGTTGCCAGCCATCACGAGCTTTGTCAGATCGAGTAATTATGCACCTGTCACCCCTAACTCAGGAAAACGTGGGGCATGGTGGGAGGGGGATTTTGTGGGGGCTTTGACTCTTCTCCTTTCACCAGGGTTGAGGTATTAGTTTATTTAAGTTTCATGAAGCCTACTGTAACTGACGTGGTTTATGTATGGGTTGAAAAATTACTGAATACTAAGGCCACGCTTCCGTCGCATTTTAACGAGTTTATCTGTCTCCGTTTCTCCAGGAGATTCTGTAACATGACACAATGTCCACAGGGACATTATTATATGTTACGCTCTTGGCAGACGAATGGAATTCTACCAAAGGCGGACTGTCGACCATGAACAGAGAGCTGGCTATACAGCTGGCTAAACACCCGAACGTGTCTGTCACCTTCCTTGTTCCTAAATGCACTGAAGAGGACAAGAAAGCTGCTGGAAAACACAATATTAGAAACGTGGAAGCAAAAGAGCGACTTGGTTATGAACCACTTGATTGGTTAAGTTTTCCTCCGAGAGATCTCGACATTGATATAATCATTGGTCATGGCGTAAAACTTGGAAAACCAGCTCAAGTGATAAGGGAGACCCATCATTGTGCGTGGGTACAAGTTGTGCATACTGCCCCTGAAGAGCTTGCGATGTTCAAAACCTACTCTGGTGCCATATCGAAAGGAGATGAAAAACAATGGACTGAAGTAAATCTGTGCAAAATTGCCGATCTTGTCGTAGCAGTTGGACCCAAACTTCTTGAGTTCTATTCAGCCTATCTCAGCTCGTGTGGCAAAACTGTCTTCAATCTTACGCCAAGCATCTTCACTGAATTATCTACTTTGAACCTTTTTACGCAAGGAGTTACGAAGTTTCGTGTTCTAGTATTTGGGCGTGGTGACTCTAAAGATTTTGAGCTTAAAGGATTCGACATTGCTGCTAAAGCAGTCGCGGAACTGAATGACAGAAGTTACCATCTCATCTTTGTAGGTGCAAGTGGGAATGAAACACGAGTGGCAAAGAAGTTACTGAAGCAAGGCCTGAGTCGAAGTCAACTGACCGTGAAAGGGTACGTTGAAAACCGTGATCACCTAGCTACACTGTTATCTACAGCGAATCTTGCTGTTATACCTTCAAGAACCGAGGGATTTGGTTTGGCAGCCCTGGAAGCCTTATCTGCTGGTCTTCCATTCCTTGTTAGTCAAAACAGTGGATTTGGAGAAGCCCTGCAGCAGGTACCCTCTGGTTCTTCTTGGATTGTAGACTCCGAGGATCCAGAGCAGTGGGCTGAGGCCATCAAAGGTGTGCGAGAAAAAGGCAAGGAAACATCCCTTAGGGAGTGTCAAGAACTACGCATGCACTATGCCGGGAAGTACAGCTGGGAGAAGCAGTGCAACGATCTTGTGGGAATAATGCAAACCTTAGTTCGTGGTAAGTAGTTTGAAGTATTTCACCATATTTGTTGGGTTGTTGTCATTCCCAAATAATTTATGATTAAATCGAGATGTGATAAAGCAAAGAGATGCGAAATTTATGAACTCGACGTTTTGGATTCATCAAGACGCCATTATCAAGAGAAAATAAGTATAAAAAAGCGAATATTTAAGTAGGCTAGAGATGAAGATTAACATACTAATTAGAAGCTAAACAAACACTTTAGCGCAAATTGAGTCAGTTTGTACATTTTACTCTGGTTTGAATTTGCGTATGAAAAGCATCTCATGAATGAGGCAATCATATTTGCCGGTACATTTCGCAAGCACGTAAAACTGTTCTCAGGAAATGGCGGTATCTGACCATTAAATTGGTCACATTTCAACGAAGAATGTGACCAGCTAAGAGAAGTGGTGTGTAAGTTTAGATACCCACAACATTTGATTAATATGGCTATCAAAAAGTTTTCGACACTAAAGTATCTGACCCACAGCCCTATCCATCGTCACAAGAGAAAACGAACACTGTTAGAGTGATCCTAAGGCAACTTTGCAAACTACGTTTTAGAATAGGAACCGTCATCCAACCTGTGTTTGTGAGTCGTAAGTTCAATGAAGATCTTAAGGTGCAAGAAGCTAAGCCCTTTATTGTTAAACAACAATGTGTAATTTACAAATTCAAATTTAACCTGCGTGATGCAGGACATGTGGATACGCGTGGGCACCCGCATGAGCGTGTAGACACAAAAGCAAGTCAGAGAGCTTTTTGATTTTTTCTTTAATGGCCCTCGCTTTTCGTGTTTGGATGGGACCGTACATCAAAGGGGAAAAACTCGATCCGTAAAGGCAGGTTTTCATTATTTCATATAAGCGTAAGCATAAGCATAAGCAACATACGTACGCAAGGGGAGCAAGATGTTGAGACAATGGCGCTTTTTTTCTCTTAACAACAGTCGCTACTTAATAATTAATAACACTTAGCAGCATCTCACTGTGTCTGCTATGTCGCTTAGCTTATGCGTATGCTTATGCACTAATCGAAAGAATACACCCCTTCGATATGTCTTTGGGGAGTCGAAGGGCACAGACCTGCCACGCTGGGCATGTTTTAGTCACAAATGGCGAGAAAATTACTTTTTTTCTTAGGTAAAGTCCAAATACCGCAGCAAATGTTAGGAAGAGCTTCCCTGCCTGGAGAAAAACGACTGAGAACATCAATACAGCGATCGAGACGGAGAAGGCCTACACGAGAAGATCAGTCCGTGATTGAGCAAAGATCAGAGGAAGGCTCATTCATCCGCCGCAAATTTGCTGTAGAACAAAGAGGAGAAAGCCTATACAGTTGTTCCAATTATGCTAAAAAAGAAAACCAGGACAGCTTCTTCAGTCGCTCTGACGATAGTGCTGACCAAATAAGAGAGGACAGCTTACTCAGTCGTGTTAACGTTGGTGCACAAAACCGTGAGGACAGTTTTCTCAGTCGCTCCAACAGTGCTGAACAAAGTAGAGGGGGCAACGCATCATTCAATGGTCCTAACAGCGTTGAGAGAAGAAGAGATAACAGTTTATCAAATTGGTCCGACAATGCAAGACAGAAAGAGGACAGCCTATCCAGTGTCGAAGGAAGAAGAGTGGACAGCTTATCAACCTGCCCCAGCAATATCGAACAAAGAAGGGAGGACAGCTCATTGAGTGGTTCCAAGATCGTGAAGAGAAGAAGAGAGAGCAGCTTATCTAGTCAGTATTCCGGCAGTGAAGAAAGAGGAGGGAACAGCTCCTTCAGTGGGCGGAACAGTTTTGAGGGAGGAAGAAGAAAGGACAGTTTATCCAGTCAATATTCCAGCAGTGAAGAAGGAAGAAACGCCAGTTTATTCAGTGGGTCCAACAGTGTTGGGAGAAGAAGACAGGACAGCTTCTCCAGTCAGTATTCCAGCAGTATCGAAGAAAGAAAGGTAGACCGTTCATTCAGTTGGTCAAACAGTGTTGGGAGGAGAAGAAAGGACAGCTTATCCAGCTGCTCCAGCAATGGCTCAGAAAAAAGAGGGGAGAGTTTATTCTGTAGCTCCAACAGCGGTGAGAGAAGAAGAGCAGCCGGCTTATCCAGTCGCTTTAGTAGTGGCAAACAAAGAGGAGAGGACAGCTCATTCAGTGGCTCCAACAGGTTTGACAGAAGAAAAGACAACAGCTTATCCAGTTTCTCTAGCAATTCCGATCAGAAAAGGAAAGGCAGTTTATCTAGTGGCGCCAGCGATGCTGACAGCGTGTTTAGTCACTCCAGCACCTCTAACAGTTTATGCGGTCGCGATAGCCGTGTGGAGCGAAGAAGAGAACGCAGTTTACTCAGTTGCTCTATCAGTGCTCAAGAAAGAAGTCAGGACGGCTCATCCAGTCGCTCCAAAAGTGCTGGACAAAGAAGAGAAGACAGGCTTGTCAATAGATCCATTTCTGACGACTTATCTAGTTTACTTGGTTCCTTATTTGGTTTGATTTTTATATATGTATTTCTTAGTGCTATAGGAAACGCAATGAAAAAGAAGAAGTAGGCAAAGACATATACGATGTTTAAACCGTGCTAGAAAAATAGAACAACGCTTATCCAAAGCACTATTCGCACAGTCAGGATAATCCACAAAGCGAGGAGCAAGATCTGGAGAATAGCGTTTTTCAAGCGTAGTTACAATGTAAGCAGATTTCCTTCAGCGGGCAGTTCAGATGAATTTGGCTGACCGTTTTTTTCTTGTCGTCAATCTCTGCATGTGTGTGATAGACGGCGTTTCAAGCTCGTAACTTCAGTGCTTGGGACACAAATAACCCCTTGGGAATACTTCCATTTCTCGATGACTCGTAAAACTGACTACCTGTAGTGTGGCTCCATGTCAGAACTTTGACGGACCATCCGTTTGTAGGAGCATATTTTAAAATTATTTGTGGTATTTACCGTACCCTTATTCGTAATGAGCCAATCAGAAGCCGTGTCTATTGTCCTGATCTCCCGTGATATCAAGTCACTGACCTGATATATGTGGGTACAATATCATTCTCACTTGGCCGAATTTGGGCACTTTAAATACCCAGTCATACTGTATTAGGAATGCTTTTTCGGCATATCGCGTTCGTTTGGTCTCGCCATGAGTAATTAGATGCTATTTGATTCAATTGTTTAGGAATGTTAAATACATTTTTGGGTGAAATATTGCAGTAGCCTTAAGCAAAACAACCAAACAGGCAAACAAACAAGCAAACAAACAGGCAAACAAACCAAACCGACAAACAGACTAACAAAAAAGAAGGAAAAAAACATATTACAATAAGCATTTAAATGCAGCAACGGGACATTAAAAATTCAATCACATTTTTCTGTCAGGCAAACGGCGACGATGACGGTTTGAGAGCTCTCACAACAGTTTCGAAGGGGTATTCACAACCCATGACTTAAGAATTACCCACTAATAGACAAAAAGATATATTCAAACAGCTATTATTTTGTTTATAAAGGGTTAAAAGTTACTAAATTTTAAAAACCAAAACGTTTTTGACCGTACGGTCATCATCAGTGTACCACTGATGATGACCGTACGACGACGACGACGACAACGACGACGACGACGACGACGATGATGATGATGATGACAGCCTTTTATAAACATCTAAAAAGTAACTATTATGACAGCTACTATTTTATTGAAAAAAAGTCAAATTGATTCACAATTTGAATGGTAACATTCACATAATAGCAGTTTTAGGGAATTTTTATTTTTCGACTTATTTTACTGATTTCGACGGAACAAAAAATGGCTAAATTTAAAATCTAAATTTAGATCGGCAAAAAAATGGTACTTGGCGTGGTATCATAAAAACGCCGCGAAAGGGCAACTTTAACAAAGAAATTTACAGTAAATAACGCTATAACAAGAAAATATCGAAAATGAGATTTTAGCAATTAGCGCCATAAAAACTTCGAGAAACTTCTTTCATTATCAAACATATCAAACACTTTCCATAAAGATAAAATAGTGTTACATGCAATTGATTTTGTATCTTAAGTAATACTTACAAAAAAAGCAATATTGATGTAGCTACTGTACCCGACTGAGGCATTGGGGCCCCATCTGTGGACATTTAAGATTTTTAGGGGAAAGCCTTTATGAAGTTTCGTGATTTTCCGCGTGATCTGTGATTGCTGATAATGGAACGAATGCATTTTGCTTCGTTCATTTTGGGACATCGTGGGTCTGCTTTGACACTTATAATTATGAATATGCTTTTAGTTGATTTTCCAACTGCCATGCAGGAAATTCATCAGCTGAAGAGCTCAAGGAAATAAATTCCTGATGTATCTTTTAGATACAGCAATCCATTTTAGTTCAGGATATTTATGCTAACTTGGGCGTTGTCTCTCCAGTTACAGTATTGTGGTACAGTTAAGAATTGAGTCGCGATTTTACTATGTGCTTACTCGGTTAAACTTAGTTTTCTTAGCGGTAAATAGTTTCTAGTAACACTTGGTGTTATTACTTGCCAGTGAAAGCTGTATTGAATTATTTTAAGTTTACTTTTAACCTTAGTGAAACAAAAAAACATGGGTACTGCAACAGAAACAGTGTGATATAATTAAACGTTCAAAATTCAGCAACTGTAAGATGAGAAAGAAAACTATCAGATGTGGAGAATTTTGGCTGAAAGGATAACTGAATGTGAAATCCTAAAGAGGAAAGGAGCCGGAATTGAAGTAAGATTTATTTAGAATAAACCTTTCTAGTTAAACTTGTTGTTGGTTGTTAACTGGCACGGAGTACCTCTGCTCGCTGGGCTAGTTTAGCCCCAAAAGACACGTAAAACACGCGTCAACCTTTTACACTTTGTTACACATTTTCTCACTATGTCAAACGAGTACCTTTTAAGTGGAAGTCCCGCTAAAAGCAGTTCACTCGACTTCGGGACCAAAAATGATTTTCCTTCATTTTTGCCAGTGAAAAGGGTTTGGCAGATATATCTAAAAAAGCAATTTATTATATTCCAATTCCTTATGTTTGCTTTGCTAAGGCCCAAAATTAAATTTTGGCCGAGCTGAGGTTGCCAACCGTGATCAGAAAGGTAAAATTCATCGATTTTGTGAAGCGTGCTACGTCCCCTTAAATGCAGCTCAAGGAATTTCGTTTTCATACCAATTCCAAGGTACATTCATTACTATGGAAACTTTTCAGAAAATTCTAAGCTTACCAGCGAGGCTGGAAGACAAACTACCCTGAGGCCTTTGTTTACCTACTAAAATTACCTAAATTTGAGGGAGAAAATCTCAAAAGCTGGGTCTAAATGATGGCTAAAAAGCACATCATCGTAAATTTCTTACTACGATTATCAGTTGAGTAAGGCGGGACGAAAGTTTGGTTACCAAGTTTTAACGTAAAAGTCGTGTTGTTGTCACGAGCAACTGGTTCCGTATCCATTGGCAGCTTGTTGGCCTTTGACGTCATTGGCAGCAAAGCGCGCGAAATTGTAGGCGACGCGACAGGCGACCATCGGCCGTTGATATTGTTACCAATGGAAACGAGGTAAGTTGCCCGTGAAAAACTTCGGGATCCGTTTACACAACAAAGAGCTGCACCAGCTTCACACAATGTCACACAAGCTGTAGCGCGACCAATTACCAGCTACTCAGTGGAGGGGCCGGGGGCAAATCCCCTGCCCTGCGCGCGCCGATCATCAGATTTGGCAAGGTTTTGTCATTTCAATATTGAAATATAATTGAAAAAGCCACCCACTGATTTCATTTTTTGGACTAGTGCAATCTTATCAGTATGACCGAACGACGACAATTATTGCACCTTTTCAATTTTTATCTACTTTTCCTCATAAAATATAAGGAGTTGCCAATACATGAGGGCAGAAGAAGCGGATATGGACCTGAAATTATTTTTTTTCTTTCCCGTTTCCGGCCATTCGTTTTTCATAGAGAACACAATGGAAGAAAAACAAAAAATGGGGCCAAGAAAAGTCCACATGTTCGAAGCGCGTGCAGATGCTGAGAGGACGATTTCTCACTTTGTGTTTAAAGTACCCTTCCCTTTTTTTCTGACGAAATCAGCATTATTGGCTATAAAAATAGTTTGTCTTTGATTTCCCCGGCTCGCGAAACATATAGTTAAGTGATTGGACATACACTCTCACCAGTATGAGACTCAAGGGGGGTGCTTGGAGGTACTCCCTTATATGGGCCATATGCGGCCCCAAAGGTAGGTGTTTTCAGCCGTTTTGGTCATAAATAGCGTATAATTATCAATTTCTTTCAACAGCAGGGGCCCTTGATTTTGAGCGATAAGCTCCGACCATGGGATTCGTTGTTACGATGCTCAAGGCCATGTGAGATCATTTTGAACTTCCCTCAAAGCCAGAGAGCGAAATTCCCCTATAATGAACAAGCTAAAGGACATGGTGAAAGAATGCTCAAGTTATAAATAGATTCAGTGGCTTGTCAATCTCAGTGCAGCTTCGAAAAGTCACTTACAGTGTAACGTTCATTAAGCCTTTTCTGTTGTAAAAAAAAAAATGTACGGCCAGTGGTGAGTGCTGAACTACGGGTACAGGCGAAAGGATTCAGTTGCATCTTTTGTTTAATTGCTGCTAGGTTTAGTGATGGCTAAGAATATAAGTCTGTATTAACACCACTTCCAATTCAGCTATGTTAATGTTCGTGATACATGATATATGTAGAAGTGTTATCAAAAATGTATTTTTCTCCCAGCTATTATGATTTTTGCAGACACCATATAACACTAATGTATGCCGGATGCGACATATAACACCTTAAATATAATGCCTGTCGCATTTTAGGACGATTACGTTCACGGTCCACACCCTCCCTTGAGTCCCATACCGGTAAGAGTGCATGTCCCGTTACTTAAATATATGTTATCTTGAGCCGAAGAAATCAAAGACGAACTATTTTTAAGGCCAATAATTCTGGTGTTGTCAGGAAAAAAGGGAAAGGCACTAGTCCTATGAGAAACAAAGTGAGAAATCGTCCTCTCAGCTTCGATATGGACTTTTTATGGAAGGTTTCTTGGCCCCATCTTATGATTTTAGTCATTTTATTCATGGGTTGACCATTGTGTTGTCTATGAAAAACGAACGGCTGATAACGGGAAAGAAAAAAGTGAATTTCAGGTCCATATCCGCTTCCTCTGCCCTGGTCACATATTAGCAACTCGTTTTATTTTCTGAGGAATTAAAAGTAGATAAAATATTGAAAAGGTGTAATGATTGCCGTCGTTCGGTCATACTGATAAGATTACACTAGTCCAAAATATTAAATCAATGGGTGGATTTTTCAATTTCAATATTGAAATGAGAAAACCTTGCCAAATCAAAAATGATCGGCGCGCGCGGGGCAAGGGATTTGCCCCCGGTCCCTCCACTGAGTAGCTAGTATACGTAAGTAGTCACGTTGCAACTTGTGTGATATTGTTACGAGGCTGGTGCAGCTTTCCGTTGATTAAACGGATTCCGAAGTTCATTTTTGCACTGTGCAAGCGCCGATACTAAAAGACAAGCATCAATACCATGACACAGAAGTAAAGTCCATTCATCGCAAAACATAGTTCCATCCAAGCGTGTCGTGCCCATTCAGGTTCATTTGACGAATGCCCTTCCAAGCGATCAACTGGCAAGTGTTAGCCTGTCTAGCTTGGCGGTTTTTAAGCAATTCGAACGCGCTAAGAAAGCCGTGATAACGAGCGCCGAAGACGCCGTAACGAGAGCCTAAGCCGCGAGGAACCTGGGAGAGAGACAACTGTGAAATTGTCTGTACGGATGACCGGCATTTTTTGTTAGTCCAGTACGCTGGCGCACGGGCCATTGCCATTGGATCAAAAGGTTAACACATCAATCAAAATTTTCGCTAATCTCCCAAGGGACAGCTCCAAGGAACAACACTAGGGGTGGCAAATGGTAAATGCGAGACTTTGCGAGACGGCGAGACAAACGTTTTGCTTTGCGAGCCCGAGACATTTTGACTTTTTAGATCACGAGACCGAGACTTCAAAGCGTTTTGAGTGCGAGCGCGAGACGTTCAGACTCTTAAAATTCGAGCCCCAGATTTAGTTGAGAACTAGAATGAGCTTGTACAGCCTTAAGCCAGCTTCTTGGAACTGACTGGAACTCGAAATTCGATTATAACACACTGCGTTATGATATCCTAGAGTAAAATAACTGTTTTTCTGGCGCCAAAACGGACGCTGCGGTAGGTTTTGTACCTTTTTGCGGAATTAAGACAATTAGGAGAAGTTAGGATTAACTTTTTCTTGGAAAATTTGTAAGTTGCTTCATTGAAATTCATTGAGATTCCATATCAAGTGAGGAGAAGACGTCATTTATAAAAATAGATAAACGAACGAATTGGGACTTCGAGACACCTAGCGTTGCGAAAAATCAAGACTCCGAGACAGCTTCATAGAAAGCTCGAGACTGCGAGACGCACATAACCACTAAAAAAA